GATATTATAGCGTAAACAAGTGCAGACTCGCTTCCTCATGAATCATTTGCGAAAGCGATTACGTTTACGAGTGCAGTGAACTGGTTTATTAATGAATCACTGAAAGCCTCATGCAACTTTGGGGAGAGAGACTAATTTAGTTCATTTTTTGGGCACTCTCTTTCATCCGTCATCACCAGCAGCTTTCTAACAAATGTAGTATGTTAATGCAACTCGTGGTATTTGATGCTTAACGATGCTTTCTTGTAGGAGTAAAACGATTTTCAGGTGTACAATTCATGCCTCACGAAGTTGGAAGGCACGAGATCGCTATTCTGGAGGATGATTCTCATATTTACGGTTCACCATTTGTTGTACCAATTACCAGCGATTCAGTAGGTTTTCAATCAATTTCGCATGCATAAATTTTCAAATTCCCCAAAAAATAAATTTCCTCAACGTTCTCCTCAAAGTTGAATTCGAACCGATTCATTATTCAACGTTGTGCTCAAAGTTAAATTTGAACCGCATTAATCTCCTATAATTGTCAAAATGTTTCGTTTTCCAGATCGGTGACGCATCAAGACTGAAGCTGTCAGGGCAGGGATTAATCCGAGCGATTTGTCAACAAAACAACGATATTATCGTGGATGCACGTAATGCTGGTCTGTTATAATTGCTTATTTGAAATGCAATTACATCAATAAATCATTTTAATCAAGCAAACTTTTGAAAATAGGCATTGATCAAATACTCAAACTCAAATGCTCTGAGTACTCAAAGTCCATTTTCGTAATCGACTTTAAAGGTATCGGCAAGACATTCGTATCAGTACAAGGTCCCGCACGTGCTGATCTGAAGTGTGATGATGCCACGGATGGCATACTCCGTTTTTCATATCGACCCATCAAACTTGGACTTTATGTGGTCACAGTTAAATTCAATAATCAGCATGTTCACGGTATGATCCATCCCTTCACTTATTAATATTTTTTTGTAAGTAACATTATTCCCTTACGTGAAGTGAATTATGATTTTTCCAATTTAGACAGTCCATTCACAGTGGAATGTATAGGTGAGCAGCTGCCGAATTTCGAAAACGCAATCAGTAAAAGCATTGCTCGAGTGAGTTTGTTACTTATTCATCTAAAGTNATGAAAGTTTCACTCCGAAAACACTTTATTGAGTACCAACCAAATGAATGTGAACTCATCCGTCCAGTGTTAAGTTGTTGCTTGTTGAAGGTGCCAGTTGTGATGCCAGGAGATGCTACTTCGGTTGTTTTACATTTGCGAAACATTGACGTGTCTGAATTGAGTGCACGAGTGATCGAACCGAACGGAATGAGTGAAGAGGCAACAATAAGACAGCACCGTGATGACGACGCATCGAAATACTCGATCGAATTCAAGCCTCGTACCAAAGGAGGGCATTGCATTTCGGTTCTTTACAAAGGACAACATATCGCTGGTAATTGAACTGAATTGAATCGATTGGCACAACTGATGAAATCAATTTCTTAATCGATGAATTTAACAACACTCGATTATGGTTTTATCAGTTCGTTTCTTCAGGAAGTCCGTATCCATTTGTGGTGGGACGTATTGAGGAGGGATCTGCATACAAGGTTCGAATTGCGGCCATTGATCCCAGGAGGGCTTGTGTAAACGAGGCAGAATCGCTGAATATTTATACTCGGGAAGCGGGTGACGGTATGCTGGATATATCAATAGAAGGGCCATCAAAAGTGCAGATGCAGATTCATGAACTTGAGGTCAGTTACTTGGAGAAATCAGGGCCAGTGATGTGAGGTAGAAACCTGCGAGTTCGGTCAGGAGAAAGCTGGTGGATCGATAAGATGAGTATGAGTCGCACGAGCATGCCTGCAAAAATTATGCGATTTCGTTCTGCTATTGCTTAGGGCAGCGTTCGAAATATCACAAGAATGAAATGTATTGTTCCATGCAGAGATTTTGTTTTGGATTTTGATGAAAGTATGGTGGGTTTGAAGTTTTATGGGAAATGACTGTGTGAATATGAGGAGGAAGAAGCGTTGAGCAGAGCCAGAATGAAAAGATGCACAACTGGTTGATTGATCACATGTAACAAGGCATAGAGATGGATGGATTTGAATAAAGTTTACGATTTAAGGATGGGAATGTATACTTGGAATATATGATAAATAGATCAGGCGTGTACGATGTTGCGGTTAAATTCAATGATGAGCATGTGCCCGAATCACCATTTAAGGTTAGCTCATTAACAACTTTCATTCATTTATGTATCGCGTTCATTTACTCGCACAAGTTTATTGCTTTA